TTGATAATTATAGTTATACTGACATCTAAACAGTCCACAAGACTGGACCTCCTAACGTTCCCGTTATATTGGTAATGAGAGCATTACACATGTATCAGAGAAGCATGTCCATATATAAGCTGCATGATGTACTTAGGAAAATGTAAATAAGAATTGTTTTTGTCTTGAGTAATACCTGTGATCACAGAATCTTAGAATTTTAGAGACGGTGGGGACTTAGAGATTGCTTAATTCAAACCCTTTATTTTATAGAAGAGGGGAAAAAGGTCCAGAGAAGTTGTGACTTCCCCTGGATCACCTAATAAATTAGTGGCAGAGGCAAAACAAAAATCTAATTTCCACTTTACCAATTCCTTGACAAATTGTAGAAAAATTATAAGCCATTGACTTATTCCACATAACAGAGCTGCTCTGTCTCCTTTTCAGGTTCCATTATGTTAGGTTTAAGTTTCTCTGCTTTCTATACTCTTGTTCAAAGAGTTACTGACTTAATACAGAGAGAATTCCAGAACTTGAAAACAAGAATAAACCTGATCAATCATAGTCCATTCACTCAATTTTCTCATCAAGAAACGAAGGCCCAGTGAAGTTCTGGAAATTAACCGTATAAAAGAATGAGGGAGCAACTAGACAGATCCTGGATCCCTGCCTCCTCTTCCTAGTTCAGTGGACTTTACTGATACCTGGGCTATATCATGCTGTTTTTTTGTTTGTTTTTGTTTTGGGGATGGGGTTTCTCTCTGTTGGCCATGCCCTACAGCCTTGAATTCCTGGGCTCAAGTGATCCTCCTGCCTCAGCCTCCCAAGTAGCTGGGACTACAGGCATGTGCCCCCACACCTGGCTAATTAAACATATTTTTTTTGTAGAGACAAGAGTTTCCATATGTTGCCTAGGCTGGTCTCAAACTCCCAGCCTGAAGCAACCCCCCACCTCAGCATTTCAAGGTGCTGGGATTACAGGTGTGAGCCACCATGCCCAGTTGACATACTGTTTTCTAACCTCTCAAAATAAAATAAAAAGTTTCATAATATGATAAATCCTCTCACAAAGCAAGTAATAACATTCATGTATCTGCTTCAATTCAGATTTTCGTGTGTGTGTGTGTGTGTGTGTGTGTGTGTGTGTGTATAGACTTTAAACATGGTGCATCTGTACCCAACAAATGATAACCATCAAACAATGACATAGAAATCACAATTCTCAGCTGGGCTCGGGGGCTCAGCCTGTAATCCTGTGCCTTTGGGAGGCTGAGGTGAGTGGATTGCCTGAGCCCGTGGGTTCGAGACCCGCCTGGGCAGTGAGACCTCATCTCTATAATAAAGCAAAAAATCAGCCGGGCGTGGTAGCGGATGCCTGTAATTCCGGCTACTCGGAAGGCTGAGGCGGAAGGATCGCCGGAGCCCAGCAGGTTGAGGCTGCGGTGGCCGGGAATGGCCACTGAACTCCAGTCTGGGCGACAGG